GGTGTGTGGGACATTTCCAACTAAACTGGCCAAAGCATCAGCAAACCCGCCCTAGGAAACCATCCTGCCTGAGCCTGGGGATGCAACTCGGACGGGACCTGGGGGAACGTTCCCCAGCAGCTCATTTCCATGGTCTTCACCTGAAATGTTGTAGGGACGGACGAAGCCAAACCCTCCACCCAGCCACAGCCTCCCCCGGCTCCACGCAGTCCGGGTGTAAGCATCTGGCCCAGCGGTCGAGCACGCAGGAGGAGGCGACTTTCCAGGGAGCCCTGCTGGGGAGCTAGCTCCTGTTGTGGCCATGGGCTGTCTCACGCTTGCCCAGCAGGCTTCCCAGGATTCCCTGCTGGGAAGGGCCAGGCTCTGTGAAGAGCTTCCTCTCCGAGCCCCAACACAGCTAGGGAAGTCAGGAACATGGCCGCACCCACTGCCGGCAGCGGGCCGGGCTGGCAGTGTCGGGAGAGCTCACCCACTCTCCAGCAGAGTTCTGGGCACATGGCGAGAACTTGCCATTGATTAAGGCTGATGACAATCATCTCTCCTGCCACCCAGACTCCACTCTCCTTGAATACCCGTATATCTAGTGTCCCTCACAGAGTCACAGCGACCCTTGGGAAACCTGGTTCTCCTGGGACAGAGGCTTGGGATCTAGACCAAATGGAAGGCCAGGCCGTTTCAGTAGCCGGGGTAGGAGGGAATTCTGACTTTCAACCAACCCCCACTGCCAGGGCCCTCGTGTGCAATGGGATTCCGTAACTTCCTCTCAGCACTGGCAGCTATGGACTGGAGCTCTAGGGCCACTAGGAGAGAGACAAATCAGCTGGATGCCCATTGCGCAAACCCTGGAATTACAGCAGCTCTAAGGAGGCCTCTGGGAGAGCCCAGAGATTATGCTGCCTCCATGGGCCCAGACCGCATGCAAGCCCCCTGCAGCATGGACGGGTCAGCGGCTCCCCCGGACTCGCAGCAGGCTTGGAAAACGTAACTGACCATTACAAAGCTAGCCTCTTCCAGCGAGGGACCAGGGCAAAGATTTCACACGTGCTTCCAAGGGCTGCTGCTGGGTGAGCAGCAGTGCTCCCAGTGCTGCCTGGGGGGCAGGAGGAGATGGGGTCTGAAGGTGCAGGGCGGGTTATGGCCTGGGGGCAGCGCACGAATGTATGAGCACCGAGAGGGTAAATGAGCCATGGCTGGAACAGCAGCTCCCTGTCCTGGAGGCTGGCAGCTGTAAATGAAATAAAGCAACTGACGGGAGCAGGCTGCCTGGGCATCTCTCACAGCAAGGGTGCCTCGGGGAACGTGCATTTGTTACAGGGCAACACGCCCTGAGCACCCACCAGAGGCCGGCCCGTGAGAGGTGCTGAGCACCCCCAATGGCTCAGGCCCCAGTGGTCGAAGGGAGTGTGGCGGAGCTGGTACAATTGGGCTATTCAGGAGAGTTGGCTGCATCACCTGGTGAGTGCTTACTCGAAAGTGACGTCAGAGGGGCGTGGAGAAGAGCACCAGAGGAGGATGGTGCTCAGCCCAAGGCACTGAGACGGGGGAAGTGCTACCATCAATGACACCTGTGGACAACACTACACTGGGATAGGGCCGAAATAGTGCAGAGGGATTGAGAGGGGTTAGAAACACAAGTAGGAAATAGAGGCCAGTCTGGGCCAGTGCAGTCCAATCCCCGGTGAGGGGACAGGCTGATGTACGGGCAGTGACTGTGGGCAGAGGCAGATTTGCAATGTGCTCAGGGTAACATCAAAACCCAGTGCAGGGGCATCGCCGCCCGGGAGCAGGGAGGCGACAGTCTGAAAGTACGGGACACCGGTGAGGCTGCTCTGAGAATACTGGCCTCAGTCGCACCACCAGGCAATCCCAAAGAGCTAAGCAGCCAGGAAAGGGGAGTGAGGGAGGAGGCAAGATGAAGGATCAACCATCACTGTAAAGTCACTGACCAGAGCTGTGAGTGGGAGGGCACGAGAGGCATTTCTACAGCTGGGACCCACTCCTGTCAACGGGATTCTTTCCGCCGGCTCTGAATCAGGCCCCGCGACAGTAGAGGAGTTCGTGGGCTGGCTGAGGGGGCACTGCAGAGAGTGAGGGCATGAGATGGAGCAAAGGAAAAACAAACTGCGAAATGGTCTCTACGGGGAGAGGTGGAAATTCCATTGCTTGAGTCATCTAGAACTGGGCAGCGCAAAGCCCAGGAGAATGAACCGCAGGGAACAATTCTGCCCTGGCTGCTGGCATGGTCTAGCCTTTTCCAGCGCTGTCTGCTAGGGTGTGTTCTCGTGGGACCATCCACTATATGGGCACTGGCCCTGCGGCAGCCCATGCTATATAATGAGGTCTTCAGACCCAAGGGCAATACCAATGCTCCCAAAGAGGGAATTCCCTAGCAAAAACGCAGGGGCAGCTCTTGGGGAGGTACAGGTAACGCTACAGAAAGGCAGCTGATTTCCGCCGAAGCGCCTGCTTCCTGCTGACGCGCTTATGGGAATCAGGCATCCGGAAAGATCAGCCTTGGGGAACATTCAAGCAACCACCGGCAGGGCCTGCCTCCCCCTGGGCACACAGCAAAGGAGGGAAGAGTAGCCCCTGCTGCTCCCTGCCCCTCCAGCTCTGCAGCAGATCATCAGCTCATGAGAAGTCAGGGTTGCCCAACCTCTCCCCAGCCACAGGCCATGCTACCAACGTGCCAGGAGGCTGAGGGCTGAACCTGCATGTGATACATGATCTCAGCAGGACCATGGCTGTGCTGCCATATGAGAGAGGAGGCCAGCCATCGGAGGCAGGTAGCTAGCAGGATGACCTGCTGTTGCTCTAAGGACTCAGGAAAATCCTGGGCACATACAGGGGTTAGACAAAGACGTGACACCACAGCAGACAGGTCTAGATGGGCTCCAGGACAGAGATCTGACTAGTCACTTCTAGTTGCTGGTCCTAGGCCGATCAAACGTGTGTTTCCTAAGCGTCATATGCAGAACAGCATTCGCCATTCTACACAGGGGCACCTGAGCCCCTTCCCGTAGTGCATCGAGCAACATGACTATGAGTGGTCCCATGTTCGTTCACCCAGCCTGTGCCTGGGGCAGGTGTTGACAGGGCCAATTCAATCAGGGTGGATGTAGTCCACTCCCAATAGTAGATAAGGAGGTGTCAATTCCAGGAGAGGCAAAGCTGCTTCTGTAATGAGCCAGCCACTCCCAGTCCCTATTCAAACCCAGATTAATGGTGTTAAATTTGCAAATGATCATTAGGACTGGGAGTGACTGGTTCATTACAGAGTGGGGGAGGGATAGCTCAGTGGTTTGAGCATTGGCCTGCTAAACCCAGCGTTATGAGCTCAATCCTTGAGGGAGCCATTTAGGGAACTGGGGTAAAAATCTGTCTGGGGATTGGTCTTGCTTTGAGCAGGGGCTTGGACTAGATGACCCCCTGAGGTCCCTTCCAATCCTGATATTCTATGACCGCCTCATTTATTATTGGGAGTGGACTACATCCACCCTGATTGAATTGGCCCTGTCAACACTGGTTCTCCACTTGCGAAGTAACTCCCTGCTCTCCATGTGTCAGTATATAATGCCTGCTTCTGTAACTTTCACTCTATGCATCTGAAGAAGTGAGATTTTTACCCACAAAAGCTTATGCCCAAATAAATCTGTTAGTCTTTGAGGTGCCACCGGACTCCTTGTTGTTTTTGTAGATACAGACTAACACGGCTACCCCCTGATACATAGCTCCCCTGGCTCCTCTGCTCCGATGCCCACTTCCTCTGCCCACAGAAGTCTTCCATTCACCTTTTGCT